TCTGAATAACACGGTTCACTTAGTTTCAAATGGTTAAATATCTTACATATATTACTTGAAAATGAGTATATTTACTTTTCTTATTATGTTTAGCGTATATTAAATGTATCTTTCATGTATTATACTTGAAAGGATTTTCTAATAGTGGTATAAGTCTAAAAAAAAATTTATACTTAATCTGAACTTTTTATTTAACTTATATTTAATGGGTTATAATTTATTACTTCACTAATTGTTAGATGTAAGTTAAATAAAAGATTCAGATCGAATATAAGAATTTTTAGACTTGTACCGATATAAAAAAATTCTTATCCCTATATTATATAAGACTTAGAGACAAACAATATAAGATAAGAGTGTGATAGCCTGTTATTTTTTTTATTTTTTAGATATGCTAGATATAAAATATTATATTAGATAAGAATAAATTAGATATATTTTGTCTATTTTTAACAAAGTCTATGCGATTAAATTTGTATTACCGAAATGGATAAGATAAACTTATCATAACAAACATTAAAAACAAGATAAGATAAAAAAAAAAAATCATATTATGTTATTATATCATCACCAAATAACTCTTATATTATTCCTGAATGTTTTTGAGAGACCTTTCAAATAGGAATAGGATTGAAAATGCATAAAATATTCACTTGCTTAGCTGTGTATAACTTGTAAACTGTTAAGTTCTTTGATTAATTAATTAAATTAATACTGTGTTTTGTAAGAGTGCAAGTGTCATACTATACATTTGGGTAGCTTCTAAGATTTGCACTTGAATTTCTATTCACTTATGCAAAGCAATCTTTTTCAAACACTTATTAATTTAATCTTTGAATCTATCAAAATTATTGTAGATACAATATCATATTATTTAGTTTATCATTAATTATAAATTGTGGACCATGTTTAAAGGATGCTGTGCATATCCTTAGACAGAAAGAAACTGCGGCCTAAAATTTGATGCATGTTTCAACTTTCAGCAAATGCAAAGATTTATTATTATTCTTTGTTTTGTTTGTTTGTGAGTAAAGACCTATTGAATGGAGGACACATTTTCTTTACTATTTAAGGCCACTCTTACTCTTTGTTCATCTTATCTATTTAATGGACCTTGAAGCCCAGCCTACAATTCATGAGAACACTGAAGATAACCAAGCAATCTCTTATGGACCAAAAGAAAAAAAGAGAAAACACGTAAAAAGACTATATATGTTTTGCACTTGATGTTACTGGGCTTTTTTAAGGTACTTTTTATAATCCTAAGGTTCATAAAAAAGGGACAAACACTATTTTCCCTGTGAAAAAGCACTATTTTACCAACCTGAAAAAATATCGATGTGGCTATATTGTTGTATAATTAGGAGTTTTTTTCATTTTTACTTTCAGTTTGAAAAAAGAAAAACTATAGCCACATGGACAAATAATCATGGCAATATGTATATGGCTATGAAGTTTGAAAAAAAACATTGAAAATGTAGTTTGCAATTCTTTTATGTTACGTAAAGGTGCAACTACTGGATAGAAAAAGGAAAAAATGTAACACCTTATATTTAAGCTACAACTTCTTGGCACCTGATTCACAATGCTAGATAATTTGTAAACGTAGTTATCATAGAGAAAGTAATTTTTAAACCACGAAAATTTTCCAAACTGCTAAATAAATAATTAGCGAAAAGGTAGTAAATATGTTGGTGACAAGAACGGGGACATCCACTCATAACCAAATTAGATAGCTTTCATATAATGCTAAAGTTGTGTTTGTACATAGAAGTCTATAATTTATGAATAATATGACATTAAGTTTATTGATAATAATTACAAAAAATTAAGCATATTAGGGGAGTTTTTTAAAATTATTTCTAAAAATATGTCATTTAAAATTTTCTATAAAAAAAATAGGAAGTATTCTAAATATACTTCTTTTAGTAATTTAGAGTTCCTTTCTCCTAAATTAATAATTTTAGTACTTTGCATACAAATCCTATTTGCATAAACAATAAAACTAGCTAGTTAGATCAAAATGTAAGTTTGAGAGAAAAATATCCGCTTATGTTCTAACAATTTAGACATTCACATTTTGTTCTAACTATTCTATTTTTTTCGACAAATGTCTTTTAAGTTTTCATATCAAATAATCAATTTTAGTGCTTTCTTAAGCGAATTATTCATTTGAACATGGCTTTTAGTTTCTTTAATCTTTAAAATAATATTCGATTATTTTAAAATCAATATAAAGCGTGACGATGTATTTACAACCTGCTATCTATTGAACTAATTTTCAAAATTTAGAAAATTTTAAAATTTAATTTTGTATTACCATTACAATAGTTTTCCATCAATTAATTTGATATTTTAAATATTTTTTATTTGTTTATATATATATATATATTTATTAATTTTTTAATTAAATTAAAGACTTTTAGTTAGATATGCACTCAACATCAATATGTAATTGTCATGCATTGCAGCTTGAAATTGATATATATATATATATATATATATATATATATATATATATTTCCAAAAACATAATGATAATGACTGTAATGCAAGATTTAGTATTGATTTAGGCACGAAATTTGAACTAGAATTGAGAATCGTGATTGAATTTATGCTTTTGAAGTTTTAGTTGTGACTACTCAAAATTGTAATTAGAAATTGAATTTTGAGTTTAATTGTATTTAATTTAAAATAGTTATTTTATAATTACTAGTTTAAAATTATTAAAAATTAAGTTTTACTTATCAAAGATAAATGTTAAATTTAATTAATACTTATCTTTTATTGCTTACATATTCCAAAACTTATATTCACTGACATATTTCAACAACTATCTTTGCTATCATCGTTGTTGCCATCAACAATTTCTATCACTATTGACACATTTAACTACTAATGCTAGTGTTTATCAACTACCATAATCGGTGCAACCTTTTTATCATCATTTTCTTGGATTGATTTTACTAAGGACACCCATCAATTTTGTTGTTGGAAGTCTTAGTCTTCCAAATTGCTAATACTAATTGTGCTCATTGTCCTCTAACCGTTATTGGTGCTAGTGTCTATTAATCAAGTTATTTCAATTCAAAATATTGTAAATTCATAACATTTATTTATTAATTTGCCTACCACAACAAATTTCATATGTTTCAAAAATAATTTCATCAATGATAAAAAAAAAATCATTAGTGAAAATAAAAAAAATTAACTAAAATTATAGATAATTAGTACGCACATTTTACTATTTTTTTAATATAAAGTTGACACAATTTTGCAAAAAATATAGGCGCTAACTTTACAAAAAAATTGTTCAAAACTATCAATGGCTTAATCATCTGTAGTTGTAAAAAATATTCGATATTTAAACAATAAATAACATAATCTTTTAGTTTTTATATTACTCTTAGCTTAATCTTTAATAACTTAACAGATTATAAACATTATTTCAGACAAATTAATGTTGGTAATCTCATTTTGTTATTTTATTTTTTTATATATGCCCAATTGCCTAGTTATCATTCATTTTTCGTTTCTCTTTTTAACTTTTCTTACAAAATTTCTCTTTATTTTTTGCAACTTCTTTAAGATATAGGTCCTTAGATTGGATTTTTCTCCTGAGTATGTGGTTCATGTATTATACACAAATATTTTCTTATTTTGTATAGTTTTTGAAAGTGACACATTTTAATCTTTTTAAATATATTCTAAAATATAATTTTTTTATTCAATAAATATCTTTACCTTTTCGTGATGTAAAGTGAAGAATATGATATGAAGACGGTAAGATGTATTAGGTATCAATAATGTCCAAATGACTTTTAAAATAGAAATTTCTTAAACGATTCTTTAAACGTAATGTTCAATTATTTTTTTTAAATAGAAAAAATGTTTTGTGTGAAGAAGATTTGATTATTTAAGGGAAATTATGTATGTTATTATCAATTGTGTATTTGTCTGATAATTTAGTTAAACTTTATTAACTTGAAGGCACATTATATTTTCTTTAAGTGAAAGGTGGAGATTTTGAATTTACAAATAAGCAAGGGTGGACGATTACTTACAAAGATATTTTAACACTCAAGTTACTATGTTATTAACAAAGTAATAATATGTGACAAAAAAGTTTACCAAATAATATAAGTGTTGTCACTTTTATATCAATTAAATGTAGGTAAGTTACCACTTTAATACCACAATGCAATCATAAATAAATCTAATGTAATTTAAACTCTTTAACTGCTAAATATTTTAAACGCTCTTACATAAAAAGTGCGACCTAATAGCTTAGAATATCTATAATTAAACGTATAAGCATTATACTGTACTCATCAAATAGCTCATGTCTTAAATTTTTTTTTTATTTAATGAAAGATTTAATTATAAAAAATTCGTTAGAAAAAACATATTGGGTCAGGCTTTAGTGAACTGAGTTCAATTGTGTAAACTCAAAATATGTATATGTAATTTGTGGTTCATTAGTTGAATCAATACTTTGATTGAATTAATAATCAAGTTAAGTTTAATAACGTTGGTTGTGATGTAACAAGCAAAATAAATTTATATTACATGTATGATCACATACACGTATATAAAATATCACAAGAGGATTGAAAAAATGTTCATTTAAGACATATGTTTTATTTTGTTAAAATATAATTTTTTTGTGCATATATATTTATTTTTTAAATATTTTTTTATTTAATTTAAATCTAACATTTAATAAATCTGTTAAATTTAAGTTAAATAAAATACTCATTAAGTTTAAAAATTTTTAGATTTACACTGATATAAAAATAACATTTCTTTTATATATATATATATATATATATATATATATATTAAAATCACACTTAATAATTAATAAATGACGACCAAACTTAAAAAAAAAAAATGTAACATATTGATTACTTTATGCAACCATGTGAATGAATGAGATCAAAACATCTAAATTGTACAGATATAAAAACCAAAACGGTATTAAAAACGTTGTTTTCATTTCCATAGCTAAGGTTATGCATTAGTTAATCATTGGCATTTATTTATAAATCCGGCAGAGCCCAAAAAACCAAAAAAGAAAGAAGAGAGACAAATAACAATAAACAAACACGAAGTTTGTTCTTCGATCCGTTGAAGTTCGAAAAGGGTCTGATGAAAGAGGCCCCAACTGCACCTACGTTGTTGCCTGTTGGGACCACACACAGATCTATCCCCTAAACTGCCACTGAATCGTATTCAATCTCGATTGCCCCTATCTTGTGCCTTAAGGTATTCAAATGCCACATTCTTTCATTTCCCTGATGTGGGTGTTGCCGTTTCGCTTTCTTCACTGCCAAATCTCAGTGTCATCGTTCCTTCCTCTTTGTTGCAAAGTCAATTTTTGCACCCCAACTTCCACCTAACAATTATTACACAACTTCATCAAGCTCACATGCTTTGCTTTCAGTCCAATGTTTCACTGCATTGTGCGTGCCCATGTCTGTTTTTCTAATTTTTTTGACATATTTTGATCCATTCGTTTATTTCCCCCCGGGAATTGGGTTGCTGATCAATTGGGGTTGTGCAATTATGTAAAAGTTTGATTTTTTATTAATTTGGTTTGTTTTGAAAATTGGTATTTTGGAATGTGAAGGTTTGTTCTTTATTTTATGTTGGGTGGTGGAATTTGGAGAATGTGGAGGAATTGGAGATGCGTGATTTTGATCATGTGTGTTTGGTGTTTCAGGTGCATGTGCGTGAGGCTTTGACCAGTGGCTCCTGAGAATGGCTGATGTGGCAGGTCTAGTTGAGGCAGCAGGATCAAGATTCAGTTCAGTGGAGCTTATTGGGCAGGGATCATTTGGAGATGTCTACAAAGCGTAGGTGTTAGTTTTAGGAGTGCTATCATGAGCCCTGCACAATCTAGCTACCTTTGCACATTGAGTTTGAATCAAATCGGTAGTTCTATGTGCACATTGCTTATTCAATGGATATATGAATAGTTCTAGTGTAGGACTTTCCGTCCTGTTGCTTCTGCAAGGGGAATATTGAGCATTGTTTTGGTGATGAAAGTTTGAAACTTGTCCTTTAGATGCTCATTTGATATCATATGATACTAAAATGTATGAAATCTGCAATTTGGTGCTAGTGCGAATAAAGAGCCATTGATGGATGCAAACTTTAGACAAACATTGCTGTAAAATGCCTGTATGGAATTTTTGAATGATACTTTTTATTGTTAGAGAAAAAATGTGTATGATGATATCTTATCAAGCATTAGTTTGAATTCTTTCTCCAGAATTTGGAAAGCTAACTATGAAGATTAAATTTATTAAAATTTTATGTTTTGTTGACAGTTAGGTGTTCTTGATGCATAAATCATACCAAATCTTTCAAGTTTCAACCACTAAATATTTTATTGTTGGTTGGTTCTGGTATTTACTGGGAGACAATGCAATTGAGAATAGGCTTCATGTTTGTTTATACTCCTATCAGCTTATATTTCCAAAGCTTGAATCCTAGACCAAGAGCATTGCTCCTGTACTCACTTACAGAAGACAGAGTAAATGATACTTTTCCTTCATAAATATTGATTCATGGAAAATGTTACACACTTGCAACATTGAGCAACATGAGGATGTAGAATTGGGATCAATTTAATTATTTTTAGACTTGAATACACTTTTGGTCACTCTACCATGGCTAATGCGCAATTTTGTTACCTCAACAAATTTTTCATCAAATTTAATCCCCTAATTGTTTTTGATGGCTAGAGTCAAGTCCTTTCTTGAGTTCCTCTACCTAAAAGCCCAAATTCTCATTTTTTTACTCAAATAATTTGTGGTGGTGGTGGTGTTGGAGGGGGGGGGGGTTAGGATGGATTTCAAATAGAAAATGATTTGAACAGATTGGATTATGGGAATTTGAAGGATTTTGTAGAGGGAGAAAATTTTTTTGTTTGGCAAAATATGAAGTTTTCATTGATTGGGTTTGAGGAGAACGTTTGACAGTTTAATCTGTTCAGTTGGTGAAGTTTTTGGGTAAAATAAGGATCGGTAGATGTCACTGAAGAAAGAACTTATTTGTAGTAATTTTAAAACAATGATGTATTAAATTTAGCAAAAAAAAATTTGTTGGAGAACTTAAATCTCCCATATTAGGCATAGCAGAGGGACTAAAAGTACAATTCAGTCTTACTTTTAAGAGTGAAAGCCTGACTGCATTTGTTTGTTACTTAAAAGAAGCTGATAATGAGTATTTTTCCTTTTTGATGATCGATAAATGGTGTTTGAAAAATGACTATAAACAAAATGACAATGACCAAAGATTTTTTTCCAATAGGTAGGATTCACTACATAAATCAGATGATGCCATTGTGCTCTATCCAAAACCAATTTTTTAGCCAGACTATTTAATTCTAGATCCTTTTTAATGGTTTCACTTAGAGTCTTGGTCTATCTATTGTAAGGCTATACTCCATTTAATGAACTCTTCAAATTGGAGCTTTTATAACTCGTCTTCTAGCATGTTAAACATTTTACACCCAAATTTACTATTTAATGTCTTCCTCAGTCCCTCTACTTCTCCATTACTTTGTATGATAGATTTAGGAAACCTAACCTGTGAGGCTTGTGGTATGGTATGATCTCTAATTTTCACTGATCTCTAATTTCCACCTTCAAACCGATGCTAGAGCATGTCTTGCTGAGCATCTATTATTTCATAATACACATTCTTTGTTTTTTCCTCCATAACTATAGTTTTTTTACTTATTTCATCTCTTGATTGTTTCACTAGAACTACATCATATGGAAAAAAAAAGTGTATTGAGGCACTGGATGCTAGATATGTTGACTACGCACGTCCAAAACCATGGTTAACAGACAAAGGTTCAGGGTTGTCCCTTACTGTAAACCTATAGAACACAATCACCTGGCCTATACATATTATGTTGGCACTGTCTATGTAAAAATTTGCAACAAAACATAGACTGTTACTGTAAAGAGAAGGATATATGTTTTTTTTCCGAATCAGCCTCACTTCTTAACTTTTCCAAAATAATAACAATTCTGGTGTTGGTTTATAGAAAATTCATTGCTGGCATCCTGATGTGTCATGTCTAGTTTCCAGAGAGCTACCTAGCTGGGTGATATTGATAGCCTATCATACTTGTGTAGGGTGATTGTGTTCTTATTTGTAGCCAGGAGTTAGTAATTTTGTTTAACTAAATTTTTATGGAAATATCAAGGTTACTGAAACTGGGATCTGTAAGTTATGATCATTGTGAGTTCTTATGATTTGCAAAATAAAACCTAGTGTGCTGTTATTACTTATTTGAGCTCTGTTTGTTTACCATCTCAGAGAATGGAATTTTACTGACAAGGATCAAGAAAATATCTACTCTAGCAAGTTTGTGGGTATTGCTTATAAATCAAGAGGAAAATAATGATAAAAGAATACATGAAAGGAACTCCCCAAAAGTTATTTCTGTTTTTGTTGTCAGTGGTCATTGTGACATAAATATATAAATGACCTGGTCTAAAGAACTATATTTATGTTCTCTGAACGTCTTTATTTACAAGCTTTATGTTAGACATGGACAATGAGTTGTTTGTCTCTTTTTCATGCTATCTTATTTCCAGGTTTGACAGGGAGCTCAACAAAGAAGTCGCCATCAAAGTTATTGATTTAGAAGAATCGTAAGTCTGTTGTCTTCTTTCTATTGTTTTAAAAATGTTTTATGTAAATGCATTGCAGTATTGGCCGTGTTGGGGGCATGTAATATTAAAGTACATTGAAAAGCCTCTTCCATTACATTGTAAAAGGTTGTCTCAATTTTAGAACATATAACGTTGGAAGAATATCAGTTTTTCCTTTTTGATCCTTGCTAGGCTCTTTGTACTAGGAGGGTGAAAGCTGGAAGTCATGTTGATCTTTTACTTTTGAGGACAAGGTGGAACTTCAAAAGGGTGGGATTGATAGGTAGGACTTTGGAAACATGGAGGCAGAGTAGTTAATTAAGAATTACAAAATTAATTATATATTACGAGTAGTTAGTTACAGAATTGGGTAGGTGGCTAGCTTAAATAGTAGGAGGAATAGAAGATTTCATTCTGAATTGTTACTACTGAGAGAACTGAGCATGAGCTCATTTGTAGAAAAGGGGTACTCCTTTTTATGCATATAGTTGTTTTCATGGTTGTTAAACTCTATTAAACTTGTAAACTCTTCCAAGTTTACAATCTTAGATAAGGAAAATATGTCAAATCGCATATAAACTCATTTTTGGATAAATTCAGGTGAACTCTGGTAAAATTGTGAGTTTAAACCCGATTGTACAAGTTTAACAAAACAAAGGCAAATCATATTTTTTTCACCAAAATAATAACACCATTTGGAATGAGAGCACCACTTTTCTTCCCTCTCCACAAGTTGTGAAATATCACATTTATAATTATGGCACCAAAATCACATTATCATTATATGAGTTCGCTATTTAAGTATGATTTTAACTTTATTTCATTATTATGAGTTCTTAAATATTATTTTTACATGAGGTAAACTCTTACAAGTTTAACAACCTTGGTTGTATTCTGCTCTTTTCTGTTTTCTTGGTCCTTTCTTTCTGAAAAATCAGATTCTGGACTTGTAACAAACACGAGTACTAAAAGCTGTAACGGTACATATCCTTGCATTCCAGTCATGTGGTAATAAATCATTGTTGACAGAGTATTCATTATTCAATTCACATGCTCTCTCCAAGATCATACCCAAACACACATAAAGAAAAAAAGTATGGAAAAAATTTGTAGGAGCAGTTATCTCTGCATGTTTATTCATTATTTCCCTTTTTGATTTCAAGTGAGTTGTATTCTGCTATTCTCTGTCAAAAAGCTGTCCTGTTTGGACTCATGTTTTACCTTATCCGTTAGCTTTTGGAGTTAAGCTAAGCTAAAGACCAAAATTTAATATGATATCAAAGTCTATCGTAAATCCAATATTATTCACCATTGACTTAAAAGAAAAATCAATTTCATGGATTTTCCTACTGCAATTAACTTAAACCCGTGGATTTTCCGAAATGACTTACCTAGCTCTGTGGCATTTCTAGTGCAATTAATCTAACCCCGCCCTCCTTGTGGAATTTAAAAAGAAAATTAGTTCTAAAATTTTTACACTCTAATCTTGAATGTGAAGGAATGTGTTGAAATCTCACATTGACTATAAATATAATTAAAGTAGAGCTTATAAAGGTTAGGACAATCCTCACCTTACACCTAGCTTTTGAGATTGAATTAGGACAAAGTAAAAATTTAAGAGTATTGTTATGAAGTTGGTACACCCAGCAAACCTAGTGGGCCTCATTTATATAGAGTACTTTAGTTTGAAATTTTCTTTGTATAAAATATTGCTTTTTTTTTTCTTTTGCAATATTGCACTTTGAATCTTTATTCATTTCTTGCTTACTACTTCCTAACTTATATTTCCCTTTTTTTGTACCTTCAAAGAGAGGATGAGATTGACGATATTCAGAAGGTATCATCTTGTAGATTACTTGTGCTTTACATTTTCTGTACCCAAATGTCTAAATTTTGATTTTGTATAAACTTTTCAGGAAATTGCTGTTCTCTCACAATGTCGATGTCCATACATTACTGAGTATTATGGTTCCTATCTGAATCACACTAAACTTTGGATAATAATGGAATACATGGCTGGCGGCTCTGTTGCTGATCTAGTAGGTTACTTCTGTTTACTTGCTTCTGTATGTTTAGTGCATGGAATTTGACAATGATGTTTGTCGGTAATCATCCTTTAGTGAAACTTCCCCTGCTTATCTGTGAACCATGTCATTCATTTGTTGTTTAATAAAAGAAAAAATCATTAAGATGAAGAAGATCACAAAAAATAGGAGGATGAAGATCATTCTTTAGAAAGAAGTCTGATAGAAAAAAACAAACACTTTACACCAAGAGAGAAAATGATTACTTGAATTCTAGGTGAACAGGTGCATATAAGAGAAAATAGATACAATTTTAAGTGCATGTAAAAACTTTGTGCATATAGTGGATTGTTCTAGGGGAAAATGCCAATGGTAGAGCACTCAGCACTCCATCTTTGATCCAAGGTTTAGATTTCATTGGGAGTTTATGGGAGAGGATATAGATGTTCAGACTCCAATAGACCAAAGAAATGATATGCATAGAACTGGATTATAATGTTACATAGTTCATTGTATTTTAATGTTGTAGTCCTAGTTATAATTCTTGTATGTTTTTTTGTATAAGTTTGTTATTGTCAATGGCAATAGAATTGTGGATTGATGTTGGTTGATTTAGTTTGTATGACTTTGTGTGCACATAACGTATTTCTTTTACCTTTTGTCTCTTTTGTTGTTGTTGTTTTTTTTTTTTTTTTTTGGTTGTTCTAGTAAGATTTATTAATTCTTATCCTCCTTGGTACTTTCCCTGTTACTAATTTTTTGGAATTGACCCCCCTCCCTCCCCAAATAGAAGTTCATATTTTGAATGGTCAATTTTTGTGTCCCACTATTATCATGTTTATATCAATTAACATTAATCTCCAATATGGCCGTATTGTGTATGTTTTTCTGTGGAATTAATGTCGGTTTTGCCTCTGTAGCTCCAATCAGGTCCTCCCCTTGATGAAATGTCCATTGCTTGCATTCTACGTGACTTGCTGCATGCTATTGATTATCTACATAGTGAAGGAAAAATTCATAGAGATATTAAAGGTATCAGCCACAACCCCCTTACCATTGAATTTACGGTACTTTGAAACTGTTTTTCCCTCTTCCATATGTAGTTTTGTAGTTATGGGATTTTGTTTTTTTGTTTTTATGTTAGCATTATAATTGACAGCATTTACATTTCAATCATACAGCCGCAAACATTTTATTGTCTGAAAATGGTGATGTGAAGGTATGTTATATTCTGAAAGAGGTTACAATTTTAACTTTATTATTTTATATTACTTCGTTGAAATATGATGCAAAATAATTTGAGATGTGGACTTGCATGCATGTCAAATGTCACCAGGTTGCAGATTTTGGTGTTTCTGCACAATTAACAAGGACTATATCAAGGAGAAAGGTAAACACATTTCATCACAGTTAATTGAACATGGACGGATAATGGGTTATTGATACAGGGTGCGTTTGGATATACAACTTAGTTAAATGCTGATTCAATATGTTTTTTTTTCCAAATGATGGCTTATGCAATAAATTTATCTATATAATTTATCTGGAAAAGCTAAAAATAATTTATCTAAATAAGCTTAAAAGAGCTTATGTGAGTCATAAGCTATTTTTGTAAGTTCTTTCAAACAGATCCATGGTATGTTTCATTACATTTAGATTAAAACTTATGTGTTATTTTATAACTTGTCATCCAAATCTTAACCTCCTTTCACGAGAACAAAATTGCTTTCTTTTCAATTGAATAATCAAATTGGATTTATAGACTCCAAAAGTGAAAGAAAAGTGGTGCAAAATACTTTGTGCTTGATGTAATATGAGTTGAGGAAACTGAATTTTGAATCTCTGTTTTGTTCATGTAAAGGGTTGTAGTTTTCTGTCATTGCCATAATTACTGCATTTAATGTTTTGTGTAACTGAAAAATCACTTGGGAGTTCCAAATTAGTACGCTTCATCTTTGACTGGATATGTAATGCTTTTTTTTTTTATCACAACAGACATTTGTAGGAACACCATTCTGGATGGCACCTGAGGTTATTCAGCAGAATGCAGATGGATATAATGAGAAGGTTGTAGTATATTTATTGTAAATGTCTTTTGCTATCTTTCTCTTTGGTTCTGTTTTTTCATCTCTATTTTCATTCAGTGTTCCTTATTGGTTTTTCAGACTCTTACAATCATCACTGGAGTATTCTGTTTATGCAGGCAGATATCTGGTCTCTGGGGATCACTGCAATTGAAATGGCAAAGGGGGAGCCTCCTCTTGCTGATCTTCACCCCATGAGAGTGCTTTTCATCATACCCCGGGAGAATCCTCCACAGGTTGTGTTCTTTAATATAAGACAAGTCAAACTTTCAAGTTATGAACTATTTTTAGTAAATAAAGTTTTCCAAACAGAGATTGTATTTTTGCCAGCATAGAATAGTTGACGCTTATTCTCATTTTCTTCAGCTAGATGACCATTTTTCTCGTCCAATGAAAGAATTTGTTTCATTGTGTTTAAAGAAGGTTCCTGCTGAGGTAAGTGTCTATGCTTTTCATACACTTACTACTTATTTCATTTTCTTTAGTTCTCTAGTAGTTCCTATATATTGTTAATGAACAGGTTCTGTTTTGTGGTTTTAATCTATATGGATTGTAAGAGGACATCCAAAAGATATTCCTTTCTTTTTTGCATGCTTAATATGCCTTTCTAGAACATCTATTTTTTGGGGGGCAAAGGTAACAATAAGAAATATTAATTGAAATATTGGACTTAGGATGTTATGTTTGAATCCTAATTTACTATGAACAGGGATAGTAAAATTATTTTCATGGATTTTTCGTGTTGAAATTTGTAGCTGTTAACTTGACATGATGTATTGTTTAGTTTTCCTCAATTAGAAGCTTTTCAGATTAGGCTTGGTATGGAACTGGTGAAGTTGATCTCACTCCATCCATCTCTTAATTTTCCCCCTTTTAATGGCTTCAATTCCAGAGGCCAAGTGCTAAGGAACTTCTCAAAGACCGTTTTATTCGGAATGCTAAGAAGAGTCTGAAGCTTTCAGAAAGAATAAGGTGTGAATGATGGATAAGATCTTGCTATATTTTATATATGTAATTCTACCGATTTTGCTTTTGGCTGTTAAAATTTTCCCGTTTCTCCATTTTATTTCTTCTAAAGAAGGGAGCGTCCAAAGTACCAAATAAAAGAAGATCCAGGGACCCCTAGAAATGGCCCAAGAGGGATGGGGGAGGGATCAGATACTGTAAAGGTGACAAGAGATTTAAGAGGTGAAGAAACTACTCGACCCAGGTAGGTTATGACTGTTGACTGCTGATTTTTATTTTACAAACCGAATTTTTTTATGGACAGTTTCTAATTTGCAGTGGTCAGGGTATAACCCTGAAAAGTGCTGGATGGGACTTCAGCATTGGTGCATCACAGGGTACTGGAACCTTTCGTAGTGCTTCTCGACCACCTCAGTTTAGAGATAAGAAAACTGAAGTTTCACATAATCAACTTAGCCAAAGAAAAGCTCCAGAGAGTGGCTATCAAGGGGGGTCTGCCAATAGGAGTGCACTTAATGAGCCACTTGAAACTTCTTCTGGAAAAGATCTTAGAGTTCCCCACCGTGATGAGCATTTGGATAATGACCTTGAAGATGTAATTGGTTCTCACCATGTGTCTGTTTTTGTCATAGAAGTTAACTTTTGGTGTTTATAAACATGAGATATATGATTAATGCTTAACCAGTTAACCCTGAGTTCTTACCTTCTGAGTTTTTAGATACTTAATGAGTTGAAAACTGATAAAATTTTCCCTGTCCATCTGATTTTGCCATCCATTTAGCTGACACAAACAACAATTAAATTGTCTGTGGTGGTATTATCATTTAGAGGATTTACCTTGTCAATAATTATTTGAAAGAATTTCAATCATGAAGTAAAGATGGAATTCCTATGAACTTATTGAAGTTTCATTTTGAACAACCTGGACTTCATTTGATTTTCAGAAATCTTCAATTGCAGGATGAATTGTCTGGGAATGGATCGGGAACTGTTGTTGTTCGATCTCCAAAAGGATCAAGGCCATCAATGTTTCGTGACCAGAACTCTCAGGTATTGTTCAAGCTGAGTTACTTTGATAAGAAATTGATCAGTTCTTATAGCTTGTCTTGTGCACCCACAAACTGAGAATTTTATTTCATTGCAGTCTGACAGCAGCTATGCTTCCTTTGAAGATGCTTCTACCAGTGGAACTGTTGTTTTTCGTAGTCGGCATGATAATTCTGATTCTTCACAGACACCAAGGTCTCGACAGGGACTTCATGACAGAAATTCAAATGCCTCACTGGAAGATAGTGCATCAAATCTTGCTGAGGTGCTATTTCTTTGTGATATAAGTTGTAAAATGTCACTTGTGTGTTGATTAATGTAGCACAAGATGAGCCCCTATTCCCCCCCCCCCCCCCGTCCTTCCCTTTACAATAATAGATTTTATTATTTTCCCATGTTAAATATGAGACTTGACATGTTGATGATCCGTTGTTCAGATTGATGTTGCTTATAAACAGAATTTTCCTACCTCTGTCTCTATAGGCAAAGGCTGCAATCCAAAGAGGGCAAAAGAAAGTGAATGCTCGAGAGAGACATGCCCCAGGTAAAGTCAACAATGATATACGGGAAAGCAAGAGAGACCAATCGACTGGCAGTTCTGATTCTTCAAGGTACAACCATAGCAATAGAGCTAGTAATTTTTCTATTGCTGAAATATAGATGTGTTATACACATTCTCACGGATTTTCTTGTTTTCAGAGCACTTCGTGAATATGATGCACAAAAGGGCATGTTAAGATCACATTACGCTAGTAACAATGCAGAACGTGCTAAAATAATGTCATCATCAGTGCCATTATCAGTTTTGCTTATTCCTTCATTAAAAGAGGTGAATTCATGTGTATATTTTATCCTTACCAATTTCTAAGCAGTATGTTAGACTAAACATTGTGTTATGACTTCCTTTTGTTCTAGCATCTTACACTGTGCTTGTAGCCCCTCAAGGTTCCATAATTAAATTGATTATTAGATATTATTTTTTAGTTTTCATTTTAGATTTTTCTAAATTATCATTATGTGTTGTAAATAGCCATTAATTTATTTAGGCTTTGTTTGGAAGTTTAGAACGAAAATGAAGGAAAGAGTTTCAAAGGTAAGGGAGGAAAGGAGAAGGGGGGAGGAAGGAGAGTTAATAAAAATCTCTCAAATTTAGGAGAACTTAAAAATATGGACTTAAAGAGAGTTTTGGAGGGTCTATAGAACATCTTCCCCTTATCTAAAAAACTCCCAAACAAAGATTATCATCAACTAAGTCTTCTCCTTCTTTCTCTTTTCCTCCAAAAATTAACTCCCAAAGTCTTCGAATTTGAAAATGATGTTTGAGTATGATGCACTAGCATTACTGACTATTTATTGAAAATTGATTATTACCACTAATCATCTATGTGATGTTTTTTTGTTCTCAATACTTCTTAAATTATGAAAACAAAATGACATTTTAAAAAAATAGTTTATATTATGAAGCTTTTTGTGGTATTTTCTTTGGGATGGAGTGGGATGGCAGAAGTGAGGATTGGACACTAGAAATCTTGTGCCTGATAAGATGGAAGTTTTTGCATGCTACAACAACTTATTGCATGAATATAATATTTTTATTCTGTTATTTTTTTTAATTATTCTGTGTTTGTTATGTAGGTTATTGCTGATGATCCAGAAGGGTCAATCGTGGGGGCAGTTATCAATTCTTTCATAAACATGGAGGGTGCAAAGCCTAAATCCTGTGATGTTCTTGTCAAAAAGTTGCTTCAGCATTTGGCAAGGTTTGCCTTACACTGAAGTTCATTACACAAACCAAGAAAGGAAAATAAATGTATCTCATTCTCTTGTGTATGCAGTTCAAAGGAAGATTCATTGAAGGACCTGCAGGGCTTTGCATGCCAACTATTCAGCAAGACCAAGTCAGCTGAAGAAACCCGAAATGCTGAGGCCGATAACCGGAAGAGACAACAAAACAAGGAACATCATTCAAATAGCAATTTAAGCCCACTTGCAAGATTTCTTCTCTCAAGGTTTGTGGAAATTATCATTTTTCCCTGTGAATAACTAACTTTATTCTTAGAAGTAGTAGTTATTTATTGGTGCACTTTTTCCTAGCTTGGGGGCTGGTGGCTTTTTAATGAAACAAAGCATGATTCTCTCTCTTTGTTATTCACAATATGTGGCATTGAATATGCTTGTGAATAATCTCTGGTTCTTTGTTATACAGATGGCAAGGCCAAACCTCAAGGGATCTAAACCCATCTTGAGTAACAAGTTACCATTCTTGTGTGTTGTCTTTATTTACGCATTTATTTCTATTAATTGTACATATATCATTGTAAGAAGTTGTTTTTCTATGTTCTATTAATATTATTATCAATTAATTTATTTTTCTTTTTAACTTTTTTGGCTCATAGTGACAGTGACAGCAGTGCTATATAAATAGAGGGTTTTCTCAGTTACATGCAAATTGTAACAGACTTCATTGATTCGTATTTTCGAATAGTAAAGTATCTTTGCAATGTGGGATAATAGGCCAATAAATGAATTATCTCTTCCCCATTATTTATTTCGTTGTGAAAGCATTTTCAAATGATGTATCTCTATTTTCTCTTCATGAAACAACAACAGTAAGTTTAAGTCTGATCTTGGCTATTCGATGTGATTGAGTTCAATAAAAAATATGTTTAATTTTTTTGTAAGTTAAAATTAATTTATATTTTTATATTTTATTAAAAGTTTTTCAATGAATTTTTTCAAATGTAAGTTATTTTTAATTTATAAGAAGGATTTTAGTTGTTTTACTCTTTTTTCTTTTTCTTTTCTTTTAAGGACTTTTACAAAAAAAAATTATTTATCTGAACATTAATCTAACAGTACAATATAAGGAAGAAACCAGAATTTCTTTGATACTTCATTAACTATATGTTGTTATATAATACTAAATTAAATTGTTAGTTTATCGTTAATTAATGGCTAAAGCAGAGCTACGGCTATTGCCATGGACCACAAATGACAAATCACATAAAGCATAATGCCCAAACTGTAAATTGATTGGACTTGTCTTTATTTGAGAAGTTATCATAAACTCCCGGACTAAAAAAAGTTAAAAGTTATCATTTTTAATTTCATAGTACTATAAATTTATTGTAATCTTAATTATTAATATTTAAATATGAATTTAATTAAAATATATTTTTACACTGTTATCTAATCATGAATTATTATATCATTAATTTTTGTAATAATTCATTTAAAAGTCATATGCACGCTGATTTTTAATTATTTTTACAGTGTAAAAGATTTTACACGTACAAAAATAAACTCTTTAAATGGGATTTTGTTAAATTTAACCTTTAAGATTAAGAATGATCAACTAATAATAGTAAAATTTTATTAAAAATATTTATTATATTTTTATTTTAATATAATAATTATATATTTTTTATAAAATTTTCTATTTATAAATATTTAAACTATGTTAATAAGAAACGTTTTAAATATAATCATATCACAAAGTTTTATACCATTATAATAATGTACAACCTTCACGCTGAATCCCACAACAGGCTGATAAATATAGTACAAAATATGATTCCACCAAAAGAAAAGAAAAAGGCACATGACATGACATGTAATGCGCAATAAACGCTAATATGGTCCCACCAACTTAGATAAAAATGAATATGAAATATGCTATTTGCATGGTGGGGAAAACATCACTACAGTTGAGGCAATTTCCCTGCCTTGACAAAGCATATTACTACTACAAATTTGCTTTGTTTTCTGTTTCTGTGTCTGTGTATTTAACTTGAAGTGGTAGTGCTGCTTTTTGGTCTTCATTATCATGTTTCTTCTACATCATCGAAGGAAGATATGGAGGCAATAGATGCTTAGAAGAGCTCAACATTTGGAATATTTGACTTTGGGAATGTTAATATCTATGATGAAGAACCTAAGAAAGAGCTGGAAGTTGTGGTGCAACGACACTGTGTAGACAAGTTAAGAGTTACAACGCTAAAAGACAAGACAATGCAATTTAGCTTAAATAGATTTTCTTTTATTTCATCTTTGTTTTTTATATATTTATTCCATGAGAATAAAATTTCATCAGAATTCATGAAAGTTGAGAGTTGTTTTGAAAATTCTGTTTCAAGTTAAAGGCATGAATAATTTATGTATTTGACCTGAATATCTGTAATTTTTAGAAGTACAGTGATTCATTAGACGATCAATTCAGGAAAGATCCGTGTTACTGATATTAGTGTATTATAAATAGACTTCAATTTTAATGCACTATCAATGTAAAAAAATTTACATTGTCGACCAATTAGAATACATTGTTAATATGATTTAATTATTACATAGATTATGATTATTGTTAATATGACAATCAATAATTAGATAACAGTGTAAAAAATCCTTCCACTATCAGTGTATTGAAATTAAATTCTTTTAAATATACATTTTACCAGTTTGATGTGTGTTTCTAATAGAAACGTGACTCTTGATTCTTTAGTTAAAAGAACTGGTCAGACAACCTCTGTTACTTGCAAGAGAGATTCAATTTGACATAGATTTTTTATATATTCTATGAACTAGACACTTTGGACAAGAAGACATGACTATGTCACAACTTATAACACTAGAAACATATTAGTTTTTTATGAATAAGATCAATTAGTCCAGTTAGGTCTGCAGTAAGTCACTCAAACAACACAACACAGTTCAATGACACTGTCATGGCAATAAATACATTGTGCTTTAACAACGCAGTAAGAAAATCCTGCATCTCTTCAAGACTTACTTGAACATACACAGATCAAACACTTGACAACTTGATGCCCCAAGAAGAGCAATGAAGCAAAGGATAGACGAACAGCATGTAAATATGTGGTATTGTGATTCAGTACATGTAAGGAGTGGGTATTCTCTCAAGGCTGGCTACCTAACTTGCCAAATCAAATCCCAAAGCAACATCGCCAATTTACTAACCATTCATGTCCAAAATAGACCAGTGATAATTAAAGACAATCCTTACCTGGTAACTTTTGAGAGGCCATAATTGATACTAAAATTAGAAGGTATAGCATTAGGCGCATCAAGATAGGAAAGGATGGTAGGGAGTGGCAGAGAGCTGAATAAATTTGTAATGCCAATCATCATGTACATGTTTTATTTAGTGTATAATTTAGTAAGCAGAGTTATGTTTGTTTTAGCAGTTCCATGCAACACCATTTTAGTTGTCCATACCAACGCAAGCTGTTCCTTATTTTGTTAGCTTATAGTAATTGGATATGGCGATCAAATCAGATTCTCCTCATCTCTCACATCCATAAAATAAATTTCAGATTTTGCAAAACTTTTCTAGCTGAAACCACTTGGCAAGTTTTCAAAATACACTTCCGCAGCAACAATTTTTCACTTTATAAAACCTTAAGTGTCTAGTTCCAATTTATATCAGCACCCCCCCCCCCTAATATTCATCTTGAAGGAGGGGCTTTTGTATTTCAAAATATATCTAATTAAATGAAGAAGTATATGCATTTATTATCTTAAAAACATAAAATATTATATATTTAATACTTTTTTATTTGACAATTATGAGGATTTGTAAATATAAAAGGTCTAGAATTATTCTGAAGGATGGCTATCTATGATTTCTCTTTAATACACACAAAAGCCACACCCTCACTTATCTGTTGCGCATCTGTTTTCATTAGAAACGAATTTGTGTGATTTAGGTGTTGCAATGTGTACCATTACTGCTCTGGTTCTTTGGTTATTTGACTTTTATCTTTGAAATTTGTACAAAAACCTCCTCTCCTCGTTAAATTCAAACTCAAGATTAAAGGAATGCTTCCTTTCACACACATTTTACGTGTGATATCTATAAGGCATCAGATATGGGATTAAACGATGGACTTCTCTACCTCGAAAATTTGGCCAACATTGCTGTTGCCAATAAGATAATAAATAATACGAAAATAAATGAATGCATGCAACTGAGGGCATGGAAATATGCTTGAAAATCGAAGTTAAGTGGTTCTGGCACATTGTAACGCAGTCTTGATTACAACAACGTGAAACAGTTCAAGGACTATTTATTTGCTTTGTAAATGTTAACGTAGCAGGAAACACCAGCAACTTCATTATTTGTTCACACTTGGAAATGCATAAAGCAAATACAAAGAGAAGAACTCCTAGCAACACAACAGATAAGAATGAGAAGAAAGCTGTTTAGTGTTCCCATCCTTTATTATGATAACTTTGTAGGTTCACTAAACATAGGGGACGGGTATTCTCTGTGTGTCAGGGCCAGCTACCATATCATCCCATAGCAAATTCGAAAGCAACATTGTTAATTCTCCAACCCTTCCTGTCAAACATAGATAATTGAATAAATAAAAAAGACAAAGTGACAAAAGGAGAGACACTCAACAATGCTTATAGCATGGTTGATCTTGTGTTAGAATGCATATAGATCCATGTTTACTTCAACATTATTAGTTGTAGCTTCTGCAACACTTGGTCTAACACCCCATTGGATTATCCCTCATGATCAGGATTCAGGATATTACTCCTTAAAGGCTTAAATGTCAAAGTTATGCATAATAAATGTTCAAGTGCATCAACAATGAGAAGAAAGTATTAAAGTGTAAGGCTTCATATCATCCAAGGAACTAGATGATCATTATTACCAACTTACCATTACCAATGGGTTGATCATCCCACATGACGATAGGTAACAAAGGAAGTGTGCTTCCTACAAACATCATTTCAGCGGAAGCTTTAGCTTCCTCCACAGTCAGATTTTTAGTTGCTACACCTTTCAGAAGGCCTTGATCAACCAACTTGGGTGCCAACTGAAGAAGCCTCTTTGCAGTGCAACCATATAGGATATAATCAAAACAAGGCATGACAAGTTCCTTTTCTTGAGTTATAAAAGCAACATTCACATTTGGACCTTCAGCAACATAACCTGCCTCATCAACCCATATAGACGAAGATGCTCCTCTCTCTTCAGCTTCCATTATTGAAAGGACATTTGGTAGATAATTCACATTTTTCACTGTGGCAAATAGAGGTGGCTTCATTGGTATTTTGGAAGTAATCACTTTAACTCCCTCTTTGCATTGGTTAAAATCATCTTCAATGACTACTGCATAGAATGCAGATGTTGGACATCCTGCTGATGACAGCAAGAAATTCCCAGGACCTGCACTCAGCCAGTATCTTAGAGTTCCTTTCTTGCATTTTGACACTGCAGTTAGTTGTATTAGAATGCTGCGAAGAGTCGACCGAGAAAATGGAGGGGATATCTTTGCTTTGGAGGCTGACCTTAGGAAGCGATCAAGGTGAACATCCAACTCATAGAGGTATCTGGAGAGCATAAACAATGCAATTATACAAAGACAAAGATCAGAGAAAAATTGTTTCAAATGCAAAAGGGTGAAAATTCAAAGTACAACTCAAGGCTTTGTAGCATACATATCAAAGTATTGAGTTGTTCAGATTAAAGAGTAAACCAAAAATTAGCATTACCCATCTAGAACAATACCGGTATCAAACACACCATGCCCCCTATGTACCATGTGATCATCTATAGGGATTACCATCATCGCTGGATCAGGTATGATACCTCCAAATATACTAGAATACATAGCCGGGTATGGTTGCTTCTCCACTGAACTCCATTTCTGATGAAGCTTTTCAAGCAACTGAAAAATGCAACCCCAAGGAAAATTGCAAAGCTTAATGTATTATAAAAAGACCTTATGGAATTAATAATTGCAAAAAAAAAAAAATATGACTTCAGTCTTCAAATGTTTTTTTAAGCTCTCTCTCTCTCTCAAGTCACAAACATCCAAAGCATCTTCAACTATTATGCTAATCCTTGTGAATTGAAAAGCAAATTCAGCAAAATCTTTCCTCCTCTTCTCTTTCTCCCTAAAATCTCACCAACGCCAAATGTGAAACAATAAGCTTTGGTTTCATTTTCACCCACAGATAATGAACAAATCAACTTCACAACAATAAACTGATTTATAGGCTTACGAGAAGAAATCAAGATGACACAAAAAGTAAGGCTTAAAAATCTCACCTCGGATGATGAAGAGAACACATGAACTCTAAAATCATTGTCATTTTCAACCTCTGGAACACACCAAGAAAAGAAGAAAAAATGGTTCAGCCAAAAAGCAGATACAACAGTAGCAATTGAAATAGCAATGAAGTTTGAATATTTGAATGGGATCACACAAGTGAAAGTAACCGAAAAATCCCAACTCACCAGGGAACTTCTGAGAGCAAGCACTGGACTCAGTGGGGTTCTCCATGGATTATGTTCAAAGCCAAAATAGCAAGCTGTGTGAGTACGTGGAAACTGAGAATAACCTGTGATCACGGATACTTCAACTTAGCAATATATATCCAATATTTTACATGAGAATTATATGATCGTATTAGTGTCAAAATTTTATTGGGTTATTTTTAAAAAAAATTATTTAACTTTTGTTTGAATAATAATACCATAATCTAAATATATTTTTATTTAAATTTAATTATAATTATGTTTTTAAAAAAAAATTAGAAATTAAATAGTGATAGTAATACGAAGATGATCACAAACCAATATAAATATTAACTATATATTAAAAATATAAAAAAATTATACATCAAGTTATTCTTAAAGTAATTTTAAAACGAGCTAGTTTGTTTAATAACTCTTATAAGCATTGCATTTCTTTATTTCAGTCTTTAAATTAAAAGTTTTTTTAATAGATTAAATGTATCAAAATTCATATAAAGTAAAAATAATTAATAATTTATGAAATAAATTTATTTTAAAATTTAATATAATTTTTAAATATTAATTAATTTAGATTATAGAATTGTATATTTACAAACGTTAAAAAAAAATTAAACTTGACAGCTTTATCTAATAGTTAGATTGATAAAATCAAATGTTTATATATATATATATATAAAAGGTTATTTACCCGTGTAATTTGGTCTTTGCTCATTTCTTATATTTATTTTTAAAAATATTGTTATATTTACATATGATAGCTTATTGTATTTAATAACGTAAATAATAACAGTGAAAAGTGATATAATATGAAGAACATGACGGAGAGCAGTTAGAATGATTGTTGGTTCTTTTGTTTGAGACGGATTGAACTCTTTATTGTGTCTGTTTCTTCAGTGTTTATGTCACAAAATGATACCTTAAACGAATTGTATTGTTCTTGAAACCGTCGTATAGTGTATGTTGGTAATGTTTTGCGGAGAACAAAATAAATCCTTGAGACCAGAGAATCTCTTCAATTGGAAACTTACCTAATCTTTCCTAGTCACCATCTTCTTTTTTTATTTTTTTCATTGTCACTTTGTTTTATTACTGAGCAATTAAATCAGTTCTTAAATATTATAACATTAATTATATTTATCTTTGAAAGTAACAATTATCTAACCGATAATGTTTTTGTGCGTGTCATTCCTGTCCTTGTTAAATTATCACCACAGACACACTCCAAGAGGCAAGAACTGTGTGTGACATGCTCTATCTTTACAACAAGTCCAAGCCCAGATGGTTTCTCTATGCCCATCTCAATTTGCCCCGAGCCCGGCCCAAGACATTTTAGTACTCTTCCATTTTGTCTGTCACTTCTAAATTTGGATTATTATAATCGCTTTAGAGGTGCAGGAAATTTATCCACTTTAATTTTGTTTTCCTTTGTCAAATTCAAACTGAGTGAAATGACAATTCAAATTAGGTGCGGTAGTATGTACTTTCAAAGGAAGTATGAAAAAATATTATCCTAATTTTTAAAATGATAAATAATTAAAAATAAATTAAAATACATAAATGACATATATTTTAAAAAATTAATTTCTAAATTTGAAGTTATGAAAAAAAAAGTGTGCCCTTTCATCTCAATTTGCACTTATTAAGCAGTAGGATGACAATGGGTAGAGTAGGGTACTAGTACTCATTCTTATACCTATGTTTTAAAAAAATACTCGTACCCAGCCCCATACCCGTGTGGATATGAACATTAATCTCCGTACCTGTACCCTCTGAGTACCCGCATATTCATCTTGTACCCATTACCCGCGCTTGTTTGAAAAAAAAATATTTATAAAGAAAAATATGTTTATATAACTTTATATAAGTAGTATAATAATACAAAAATTCAATATGTAGTTGCCGAACAAGGTACAAACATAGATAAAAAAATAAATATTCAAATATCATAAATGTTAAATATATCTTAATATAATAATTTTCTGAATTAAAATTTTTAGAAACAATAAGCGAAATTAAACACAAGTTATTTGTCAGTGATAACCCTATCTTGTGTGAGATTTGATCGATTGACAATGTCAGAGTGATAACGAAATAAATCTGCACAATCGTTGTCCTTCGTGTGGGATCACTTGGTGATCTTTTGTGGCGACATTGACAACTAATTCTAATGAATAACATTTCATAATTGTTTGATTTTAATGAGACAGACATTGAGAATGAGAATATAGTTAGAGTAAAGAAGTTTAATAGTAACAACAAAAAGTGGATACATAAAATATTATTTTTAACTTTTGAATTTGAAATTGTAAGAAAAATAATAGATTTAATTAAAATAATATAATAATATATATATATATATATATATATATATTAATACTAGTATTTTTAACTCATATACTATACAAAAGTATTTTATCAAAAATATAAATTTTTGAAAATTTTTTTTAATGAATTAAATATTTATAATATATATAAATTTTAAAAGAAAAAATTTGAATAAAAGATAAATAGTCACAATAAAATTTTATAATAAAAAAAATATATGTGTATATTAAAAAAATTATACTTTTTTTATTTGAAAAAAATTAACAAATAAAAATTAATAATAATTTTTTATATTTATATCTTTTCAAAAATTTCTTTGAACGTAAGTAAATAGTAAGAATAGTATTATTTAGATTCAACAAATTATAGTTGTGCTTGTGATACATATGTTGCATAGAAAAATATTATTTTAAATTAAAATATAAAAAATAAAATTTAAATATTATTAATAAATAATAAATTTACGGTAATAGTAGGTGATTGTAAAATTTATAAAATATTTATAATATATTTATTATTTATCATTCACTTTATGATTTAAACATCAATATGATTTTATTAACAAAAATATTTGTGTGAAAAATATTTTATGTGTGTCATATATAAATAATATTTTAAAAAAGTCAATATCATATTAACTATGTAATAAATAAATTGTATTAGCCTAATTAAATGATATAAAATGGTAAATAAAATTTTCTATTAAAAAAAATAAACCAAAATAAATTTTTGGTTTACTTTATTATTAAATATATTTTTATATTAATCTTATATAACTTCAAATAAGTAATATAATAATACAAAAAATCAATGCATAATTGTAGAATAAAGTTCAAGCATATATATATATATGCGGGTATGGGGTAGGGTGGATACTTAGATACTCATACCTACACTAATTCCTATTAAAATTTGCGAGTTTTTACCAACACTCATACTCGTACTCATATAGCGAGTAAATACTCTACTTGTGAATAAATTTTGTTGGTGCCCATCAGGTATTTTACATTGCCATCCCTATTAAGCAGTTAAATAATTAATCTATCAAATAGTTTAGTTTAATCAATTAACTTACCTGCTTTTAATTTTTTACTAAATTTTTTAGCTTTCAAATGTCGTTTTCGCAATGAGCTAATTTATCCATTATCTTAAACAAATATACTACTAAAATGGGCTAATTCACATGTAATTAAAAAGCAACCGTTGTTTATAAAGCGAATAAAGATGCTCTAAACACACGTTGGTCACTTTAGTTTCGAAAAATAACTTTCAACTTATGCTTTTGAGGACAATTTTCAAGAACAGAAAAAAAAAAAAAAAAAAAACTAACAAGTGCTTGCAAACTATTTTCTGAAAACTTTGTTTATAAATGGAAAGAAGAACAAGAGACACCCGTCATAGAGGCCAAGAGTACTTTTACTTACACGATGTATATAAAACTAATAAAATCTGGTTCCTCAGTTCACCACAAGGGTAAAAAAACCATTAGCACATCAACAAGGGAGCCAAAGTATGTAGCAAGTTAAAGGGAAGAAACAAAACAAAATAATATGATAAAAAAAAATGAACAAAGGCCGAGTACAAGGACAAGACGACCTCAAATGTGAAGCTCATGATTCCCTTGTGTTTGAATAAGTTCCAAACCCAAGCTTTTGGCGTTTGGACTTTAGCATATGCTTGTTATTCTTTGCCTTATATTTGAGAGCCATGACAAGGTGAAGACCAAAACATCAAAAAGCAGCATGACCAAGAGACCCCAAATAATTGTGAGAAAGTCCAAAACCAAAAGGATTGTGTTCAGTATGGTACACCGCGTGCCATGCCATTTACATGCACACGCAGCTGGCGTAACAATTTCTTTGTCCATAACCGACTCTCCCAAACACACCCCAAAATTGGTGATATACTCATTGCTCCCCCAATCATGCACATATCACATACCCCATTTCAACCTTAATGTACCTTAAAGGCCACTGTCCAATTTCATCATCACCATCATTATGATCTCTTTGCATCCAATCACACCCCTTTTCCTTGGTTAACCCTAAGTACATAGGCATCATCATGATTATTGTTAGTGCCTCTGCACCATCGGTCTGGTGAATGGTTTTAACTGAGAACGATGTTTGTTTCGTTGTTGGGAAACAAGATGCCATTGTCTCAGTTGAAAGCTAAGCATCAATGAAGTGTTTCAACATTAATACCCCCTTTTTTTCATTCATCCGAAAGGGAAAAAATATTTTATATATATATATATATATATATATATATGGGATATAATAAATTGTGTTATATATGCTTTGGAGTATTAATATGAATGTTATGTAACACCAAAATCCATGTTTAATATATACTTTCCTTAAATTAGATTCATATCATTTTATTATAAGAATAAATGAATATCAACTGCATATAATCTGAAACCCTTCTCTCTGCCGGGAGTGTGTGATGTTAGGTAGTGGCTTAGAGTAAAGTGAAAATAAAACAAAAAATAATCATACCCTTGTGGTGCCTCGTCTCAATGTATAGAGGTCATCAAGCTTTACAAACAACTTATATTTATCTTATTTCAACGAGGGTTTGAGTTTATGATCTATCATATACAAAAGTTGTCTTGCTTCCCTCCACCAACTTCTTTTGTTAGTTAACAAATTTGAAAGAAAAAAAAAAGGACATTAAAAATCATATTCTACTATATTATAAATTACAAGTACATTAATAATATTATTTCGTTCTTATTTATTTGTTTAGAAA